TCCTAGGTCCTCCGTTCCTATGCAAGCATGTACTCGGACACAAGTTCCTGGGACTAAAAGTCCTGCAGAAAGAGTTCGATGGCTTAGTTGGAGATATTTCCCCAACTAGACTAGAAATAGTTGTTCCCCGACAATGTTTTTGTTTTGTAGATGAAATAGTTTAGAAGTCTTTTAACACGAGATAGCGCTCTTTATAAATACTTCCACAGCCCTGTGTCACTTTATTCAAATAACTAAGGACAACATAACATTTGCACCATTCACTTTAAAATATCTCGACAGCACAAAACAGAATTGATCTCTAATATGTGTCTGTCACAACACATTTTTTTCAAAAAAAAAAAAAAAAAAAAAAAAAAAAAGAGAGAGAGAGAGAGAGAGATAAGCATGTCGTCAATGCCAGAAAAGCATAAACTTCCATACCTTATAATAACATGTGCATGTACATATGATCAGCTCACAATACTAAGCCTTTATTGTTGTGTAAAATTTAAAGGTGTTAAACCTTTAGGCTACGTATCCCCAAAGGTTTGAAAGTTTGCCCCTGGAACGACTCTTGTGGGTATCTGTTCATTTAGTGCAGTTTTTGTCAAGTGCATCTTAGTAGTGTCGTGCTTTACCAACATTTATCTATTTCAGATTGCCTCAAGTGGGCCTGTCACAAGAAGGTGTGTGCGAGAAATCACCATCACTGAATGGGAGCTTAAAAAGAAGACACATTTAGCCACAATAAATGTACACACATATTTTAATCTGTAATGATATTTTTCTTTCACTACCTTAATACTTGTTTTAGCTTTATTCGTTATCTGTTCAGCATCTATGCAAACGTACGGCTCCACTCTGGTCCTCAGTTTGGAAGGCACGCTTCGATCCTGAATCGGCGGTTAAACAGCGATGACATGAAACCGTCTCTTGTGAGCACGCTTTCCGCTTAGAAAATATTAATATCCATAAATTTTGGAAAATGACAAATTAAACACATACAAAAATAACCAGGGAATAGTACACCTAACTTCACAGAGCTGGGAAAGCACGCTGCGATCCTGAATCGCCTATTAAACAGAGATGACATGAAATCGTTTTTCGTAAGTTACGCCAAAAAGTGGGGACCAGATGTAGTAGCTAATTTAATAAGTCTCATTTAATATTTATGTGACTGGGTCATTACGTTATCAGTGGAAATCTCCACTATATAAAAACACTACATGGAGAAACGTAACTACACGCTAGCTGTGGTTTCGCTGTCGTGCGAGTCTGAAGGAAATGAAACGGGATTGGGTCATAACATCTGTGATTACACCCTCAGATGACAACCCGTTTTCTTCGCCCATCAAAATTTGCGACGAGGAGCAATTTTTGTTTTTCTCTAGCGTATGTGCCGTAAATGATCCCTGAGATTATTACAAAAAACACGACAACACTTTTGCGACTGATATGTTTGTGTCCCAGATTTAAGCACTGTTTTAGTGTCATTTTCGGCTAAGAATTAAAAATACATAGCAATATTTTGAAACACAAAATAGTTTTTATAATAAGACAACCCCCCTTTCTCACAAAAGCACCCCCACTGTAATCCAATACATAGGAATATTTTGAAAGACTTTCAAGGATGGTAACCCATTGTTGTTAGCGGCCCTGACACACCCCCTAAATTCACCACTGTAAATAGCCTCAACACAACCGCACCGCTTGACGATAAGCCACGTAACGTTACTTACGTAAAGAATAAAATATAAAAACCCTAATTAATTTCATTAAGTTCAATTAAAATAAAGTATTACATATGTTCTATCGGGGGGGGGGGGGGGGGGGAAGGGGGGGCATGGTTTCACGTCTCC